GCTGACTGAGGACTTCACCCCCGTCTTTGAACAGTGCGGGTGGAAGGTCATCCGGACCGGGAGCTCGGTGGCACTTGAGGGAACATATGCAGTCGTAAACCTCCGAGGCCGTAGGTGGTTCTACATTCACCGTCCAGGGTTCTACTTCACCTGTGGGCCCTAGATGAGTGCCGGCTGGTGGCCACGATAGTTGTTGTTCGAAGTATTCGGCCCACCAGCAACTAAGGCGACCCGGCTGATGGCACCACACGACGGCCGATGTGGCATGAGTTTATTTGTGTATGTGCAATTCATGGTTGTACGTGGGCTGGGATACTGCCAGGGCGCCCACACCTAGACAGGAGGACGATTAGGGTCCTCAACCAAAGCCTTTGGCTCAAAAGTCTAACCACAAGGCAGCGGTGTTTGGCGGGAAATGCAAATGCATTGCCATTTCTACGGAACAAGTCGCCACATGTTCCAACCCCCAACCTGGAGGGCCAGGAGACTGTGTTCGTCAGACCTCTAACCATTGACCAACCTGGTATGAGAGACTCTGTGAGTGTCGCAGGACACTCTCCAGTATAGCTCAATGGATCGCTGAGGTGCGCAAACCGTCACACCACGATAAGGTCCAGTCTCTTCGTGACGGTAGCCGTGGACAGTATACTTTAGACCTCCGACTCCTTTGGAAATAACCGAAGGCCTCAATCGTCACTGAGCTACTGGTCTTGGCCTATCCTTAAGGTAGGATGGTTCTTTTCTGCCATCTGTTCATTGGGCCTGGTTTGCTCAGTAGTCCATGGAGTCGTTCAATATCTGATTTTGTGCAATGACTGGTAAGGTTTGTTCGCTTGCTTCTTCCGTGGTCGCTGTCACTCACCGATGCTGTTTTGTTGCCAGTTGGCAACAGCTTCTTTCACTGTTCTTCCGTGTGCTGTAGGTTTGACCACATATCTGTTTTCATTTCAGAACGACCCTAGCATCGTGGCTTCGTATGATCGCCGCGGAAAATACATTTACACAGGAAATTCGAAAGGAAGGGTAAGTCTTCTTCCCGTCATCACTGCGCTGCAGTGCGAAGGTCATAGCAAGTCGGCTTCCACACCTGTCTAACTAATGGACCGCAACGGATCTCATTTTAGAAGTCAGTGTATATTGAAAAAGATAATGCTGAATGCACGAAACAGTAGACTGCCCTCGAGATTTACGCATGGGCGGTGTTGATCTACGTATCTATGGGCACACAGCCAGGGTATCAAGTATTTGAATCGCAACTACTTCGGGAATGTATGGAAATCGCATCTCAACGAGCCGTTTTCCATATCGGTTCAGGGTTTGCTGATTCCTTATTTCGATGAACACTTGCTTAGCACCCCTGCCTTGCGCTCTGGACTCACCTTCATGCCATCACTTCTCACTGTACCTTATTCAACCACACCTGGTACAGCTATAGTTTCATACGTTGGATAAGCAGTCATGTATTCTTACCGCAACGTGCGAAATCGAAGTCTTGTATAGGTGCTTAAGTGTGTTTACTGTGAGGGATATACGAACTCTCAAGGAGGGTGTTAACTTGAAACAGGCCGCTGTCACCCAGGCAGTTGTTGTAGTGCAGACCTTTTGACCTATCATCTCCTCCAAGCTATTGGCTACAGATGGTAAGTTGGTTTAGTCTCCAAAGCTCTACAACATGTACATGATTTATCTGGAGTTACAGAAACAAAGGGAAAAATTGACGGAACACTGTTCATAAGGTAGCATGCCAGCTAGGTAGCTGAAGGGTGTTACAGCTGAACGATTATTATCCTCTTATTGATTATACTTCAAAACTAGGCAGTCTCCACCTGGAGCTTTCCTCATCCATTTCGCCAGAAGAATTCAGAGTTGAAAACCCGTCTTTACGAAATTGTGGATTCCATGTGAGGGAACTCTTTAAGGTAGTGATTGTCGAGAGGTAAACTAGCACCTATATCCATATTCGGTCTGGTCACATTTTTGGGCACTGTCCCATGGTCAGGACGTGTCAGCCGTGTTTTTTTCCTAGTTTTGCTGCATGAAATTTTGCCGAACGTTGTCTACTTGCATTAAGTACCGTAGGTTGTGAAACACCAACCAGAGGGACTACCACTGAAAGTTATTGTAGGTCATTTGGAAGCTTTTCATCGATTTTCGAGAAATACACTCATCTGGAAATCAATTTGGTTTTCACGGGAGGCTCAATTGATTGCAGATGAGTGTATTTCTTGAAAACAGTGCAATTTGGGTTCAAGTAGATCATAAGGTTGACGGAAACTCGGGGACTGCGCCTACCTGATGAGCCCCAAGAAGGGCGAAACCGGTCGTGGGCTGTCAAAGAGTTTTCAGCAACCTTGTGAGTAGTTTCCTTTATGAAAATATGACATCGATTGTTTTCGAAAACACGACCCAGGCCATATTTAAACTTAAGAAGACAATGACGATGTCCACACTAATCGGTATATATATGTTGCACAGGAGTGATGCTGAAGTTGCCAAACAAATCTTGGCCCCTGTGCACTGTCAGGATTGGCCTCTTCGTCTCAGTGGACAATTGAAAACCTCTCTCACTACGTTGAGGACAACAGGGAACGTCTTGACCGTTTTGTTGTCTATGGATTTGGAGTAAATGCTGGAACGCGATTCGTACGAACCCGGTAGCCAATCACTGTCCCTTGTGGACGCGTATTCTAGACATTTCCGAGTCGACCAATCATGTAATGGTCAATCAGTCAACAAATCGGTGTAGACTAAGTTCCTGACAAATCCAGCACCGAGTTCAACTCTGTTGAGTTTGTCCATGGACGTCCAAGAGGGCGATCTTGAACGATTCGACCATACCTTATTACATTTTGTTATATCAGGGTACCCTGCTTTTATACCTCGGCCTCATGCTAATGGTTTTATCCTCAAATCTGTTCAGTTTTCACACAGTCGTCGCTCACTGCCGCTTGATCTTTTAGCGCGGCCGACCCGGTCGAAAACCTCGGCGCTCATTTCATCTGTCAGGTTTTAACGTTCGTACTCAATCAAGCTGGACTACAGGTTTCTCTTGCTTGAACGTTAGACTCCCTTTCTCATGCTGAGTTACCGTAGCTAATTCAGAGTGTCGGAAATTTAGAGGTGTGCAAAGTATGGCACGGTAGAAGGGAATGGAAGATGTCCCAAAAAGTCTAGGTGCCCTTGGGAGAGAGCAGAGATTTGTTTGAGCGTCGAATGAGAATGAAAAACGCATAACTTAGCGTATACATGTTGAAGATTATTTTTTAATGGAGGGCTGCTGGAAATCGTCAGTTTGAGCTGTTAGTCACGTGACCCATCCATATTGCTTCAATAATCTTTATTGGCTGTCTAAAATGTCTGCAGTTGCTAGTTGAGCCACTGTATGGTCTTTGTTATGCTTGTTTACCTCTTATTTCTTCCTATCGTTCAGGTCTGTATTTATGATACAGAAAAGTTCCAGTTAGTGACCTCTTTTCGACCAGCAGGTTCTGCCAATGCAGCCGTCAAATCAATAGAATTCGCCCGTCGCGGAGAGTAAGTGCTATTCCCGGACTCACTGACATCGTTACTCATGCCTTCTTTCCAATTCGTCCGTTTGGATTGAGAGTGTCTTTGAAGCCGCGATAGTCACCCATCTGTTGGTGGAACTGTGACTTCTGTTTCTCGTCTCTGTATTGTGTCGTGTCGATGCAGTAGATTACGTCGAAAGCCATGAGTTTTTGAATTGTTAACCTCTTTGTCCGCCCAGTGAATCTGTTAAGATGAATCAACGTAGTTGTAGCCGCAAGAGTGATTGCAGTTTTTAAAAGGGTTTGCGTTTAACCTCACTGTCTAGATCTTGTTTACTACACTCACCTGCTGGGGACCGACTGCCTTCTCGAAAAACTGAATCTCATCGTGGTTTAATGGTCCGTGTACCTCAGAGCTCTACTGGGGATTCCAGTACCGCACCCACGGATTGTATCATACCGAATAGTTCACTCGGTTGAGGATGACAAGCACGGTCTCCTCGTTCCCTAGGTGTTAGTTTGAACTCGCACTGCGGCACCACGTAGATGGCTAGAATGCGTGCCTCATGTGCCCTGGAATCGTTTGCTTTCCCGGTTGTGTGCTAAACTGAGACGATCTAAGAGCGGCCAGACCTGGTAGAAAAGCACGTATACCGTAACCAGCACTCTCAGTCATGCCAGTAACCATCAGCATCCAGGTTTCAGGCTCCAAAACACGACGCATCGGCAGTTGGAGATACTAACAGATATATCCCAATCCGGTGACATTGACATTTCTACACCGGAACAATTGCTCTCAGTGAATAGCTAACCTTAGACACATTTACCGAACAATAGACTCCCAGTTCTTCGAATAGTGAAGTAGCACAACCTATGGTTACATTGTTGTCCCTACTTCCGATATTCTTGGTGAATGAAATTTTGGCAGCGGAAACTCGTGTTTCACTTAGTCACTTACGATCGATTTGAACTGGTATCACATGAAACATTCGAAAGAGTACCAAACAATCGCATTTTTTAAAATCTGAAATGTTACGTCCTCTTTATCTATTTGAACGACACAGAACCAAGATGTTAAGTATGCGATGGATCCCTTTCATATAGTTTCTTCAGTCAAACCACATGCTTATCAAGTTAAACCAGCCCGACTATGTGCACAAAAACAGTGGAATTGAATAATTTAATTACCTTGGCACCGATCAAGCGACCCACCCAATCAGCATATGTTCAAGATTTCACATGTATTTCACAATATTTCCTATTTTATGTAATCCATATATAACTCGCATGGTTTACCTCACTGACTGAAGAGAGCAGAACAACGTGGTGGTATGTCGGGATATATGTTTTCTGTCAGTTCTAATGACCTCTAATGACATCTAAAATAGGGCAATGAACATATGCGATCCAGCTCATTGCTTATAAATCAGACACAATGCTGTGTGAAGTTCGCTCAGTCGCATAAACCAGATTAAGCGTAACGTGACTGTCGAGCACTTCAGAGCGCGAAGCCGCGGCATGTACATGCAACCAATAAGGCCTTAGCAAACTCCAGTGTCAACAATCGGGTGCATCACACTAAAACGGAACTCCTCGAGTTGGTATCCTCGAAATAGTCAGTATCGAGAACACGTCCAGTGATCGATAATGGCGGAGTTTGACCACTTTCTCACGTGGTTGCCTATTCCCTAACCAGACTTAAACTGAATTTTTGATGAAGTGAATCAAACATGTCGATGACGTATTCGATATCGCCTTTATTTTTAACAATTAACACACTAACGTCAAATATTTTCAAAGCCTCAGCTTCCTTCCAGTTTTCGCTCCGAAAACATCTTCTAGTGTTAGTCCAGAAAGAGGGCTCCCCACATCCATGGCTGTAAACAGGTTTATCAAATGGCAATGTTGAACCCTTTTTGGTTCACGCTAGCGGATATTTTCGCCGCAAAACTAAAGAGGGTAGCTGAGGCTTACAAAATGCTCTAGAAAGGATATATGATGCGAATTGAATCGGAATGCATACGAAGCATATCACTCCTAGCACAAGAAAATTGCCTGTTCTCTCAAATTCATGCTGTATCTGTGGCTTCACGTGCACTTGCGGTAAGTTTCGAACAGACAGGGCTCGATAGCACCTCTTTTAGTTGCTGAACAAGGATCTTTCATCACTCTCTGTTTACTGTACGAAGATGTATTCTTTTTGAACTAATGCCATATCTACTTCAGCTGGCCGGTACTTTTTGGCTGTGACTTCCTAGCGAATCCTGCCGGGAATCTGTACCTGAACCCTTGAAAGATCTTGTCTCTCGGATAGGTTCGCCTGATCAATTCTATGTTTGAATGTTTCCTACATATGATCGAACCTACCTACTGGGGACGTTACAAGTAGACAGACGAAAAGTGAGCGTCGTCACTTCACTGTTAAACAGCTGCTATCCCCCAAGCAACGCACTTTCAGCCGGCTGCAACGGCGTGATTTTGTTCAACTTGCTGCACTTTTCCACTCCTTACCCACTATTTCACTCGTGAATTGCGACCTTGGTCATTTTCCCATATATATATATATATATATATATATATATATATATGGTGTAAATGTCAGTCACAGGCTATCCTGCATGCTATTGCTCTGGTATATTCTGCCAACTACTGTTGGTCAGACCTCTTGGTTCAAATATGGGGCGAAGGGGTACTGTGGATCAACAGAGTTGTTGCATGGTCTAAGATTCCGATCACGGTTGCTTCGTACGCGAATCGTATTTTTGACCTCTTAAGTTTTTTCAATTCCAACTGAGGATGCGGAATTATCATTTTCCTGTCGCTCAAGTATTGTTATCGGTTTTGTCCATTTGGGGGCACAAGGCGTTTCATTTCGCGGAATGTTTGTCGCTCGTATGCCTCTCGCACTAACAAACACACATTTTGATCATTGTGTGCCCTCTGTCTGGAATAGGTATTTCCTCCTCAATTGTGCGGACCGCGTCATTCGGGTGTTTAACTGCGAGGATGCACTCAAAGGTGACGGACAGGAATTAGAGCCTTTGAAGAAACTGAAGGACTTGGTCACGGGGTACGTTCTGTGGATCAGGTTAATTAAGGTGCAGGTTCATCAACCCATTACATAGTGTTGTCCTTCTGCCTGTTTTTCATTTCCTGCTTTTGTTTTTGAGCTTTCGTTAAGCCTGGTTCTACTCAAGTTGAATGGGCTGTCGTTTTTTCGGAGAGTTCAAACCATATGGTTTCCAAAAAATGATGTGGCATTTTGTTACACATAATACATATAGTTACATATAGTCTGGAATTTTCGTATGTAAATAAGATCTGCGAAGCAGGTAGATAAACATGGAACCGTTGATTTCCTTCGGATCTCTTTTCACCCACTTTCTTTATTACCTTCACTTGGTCCAGTCCGCCTGCCGAATTTCTGCACTTGGGAGTGGCTACATCTCTATACAAAGATTGACTTGGGTAGCTAGATATCACTAGATACTAGCGAGCAGTGAACTCATGAGGTTTGACAAGTAGATACCGCTTCTCAAAATTCTGCGTACACTCCATACTGTACTGTTCATTCTAGCCGGTTCAACCTTCTGTCAATTTACTTATCTCACCACACTCGTGTTACTTTGGAAAGTCCAAGTTGGTGAGTTAATTATAGCTCGAACATCCCCGCAATTACAGTAGAAAGTCGAATGTGTCTAGCCAGAAAAGTCCGTGATAACGCTAGCAGTGCGACACTGTTAGAAGCGAACTTGAATGCGTCGCTGTGGTACAGTCGTTTTTAGAAAATGCACTTCATAAAAAAACAAATTGCGCAAGGACAGGGTACTTGTGCTAGCTTGTTGTAGGCCTTCTGAAATGCCTCACGCAAGTAAGGTGGGCAAAAACGCAGCAGTGGTATCCGCAGGATTTGTAGGCGGTCAAGTTTCCATAGATCATAGTGACGCTACTCCGAAAGGTGGATTCCCCGAATAGAATCTGTGCTTCCTATCGTCACCTGCATATTCCTTAGTCACCCCTTAGTTTCGCATTGAAAAGTATTGATTTCGCTGGTGTTCGCCCATCCAAAAGATAACTGTTTTTTGCCGCTGTATATCAAGTCTATTCAGACATCATTGGACGTGGGAAACCTGACAAGTAAGAATACTTACAGGATGAGCGTGGTTGGTGTGGTACAACAGATTACTGATCAACGGCCAAATGATTTTGGAACATCTGTTTGTTCACGACACTAGTACATTGTGAATAGGCTGGCTTTGCTTACACAGGTCTGGGTCGTAAATGTGGGTGGCATCCAAAGATTTTTAACAAAATAAGGACTCGGTAACTGACGAGGCAGCGTTCTGATCAACGCTATGGCTCTGAGCCTACAAACGATTGGGCTGATAGCTTTTCCTTTATTGTCTTTCATTAGCCAAACCGGGAGGTGTTCTCATGCTCGCTTGATTAGTTGTTTCACGATTTAACGGAACACGAGCACCGGGAGTTCTACTTGTTGATTACAGAACAAAACTGGCCGATAATCTATCAACAGCTGAAAGACAGATTGCCAGAAGTATATTTCTCTCTCACTCTCATTTGGATACGCTGGCTAAACCTTCGTTTCCATTGGTTATGCCCTTTTGTATATCGTTTACATGGCTTGTGGAATAACAGCACTCCTCAACTTCAATGCTCACAAATTCCATGTCTTGAAATTGCGGCACATTAGAGAGTGAGTTGAATGTGATAGAGTCTCGAAATATTCAAAATGATGTTAGCTTTCAAAATCGACCTACTACGATACTCTCCCAAATACGACCCCGAGTAAGCCAAGAGAATTCGTTCTTGTGGGAGAAATGGTCGTACAATCTAAAGATCAATAGGTTTAGGTTAGCGACTACCACGTACAACCCCGTGGTTGTAGTAGAAAGGGAGTCATTATGAGGGAGTACTGTACTGTATTCTGAAGGGGTAATTTTGGTGCAAATCAGTAGTAGATTAGGTTTTTTTCAGGTGCTTCAGTGGCTACTTTGTTGTATGCCTCGTCAAAAAAGTACTTCCACTTTCACACTGCTTTACAGTTACTACGTGCCATGTTCATGTTCATCGATTAGAGTAGTACTGTGATAGTGTTCAATGGATATTGGCTTTTCACTTACACACTTACATCCTTGTCTTTCACTGATACAGGAGCCACTGGCGCAAATGTTGCTTCTCCGGCGACGGCGAGTATATTTGCGCTGGCTCAATGAAACAACATTCGATCTACCTATGGGAGAGGAGTAGTGGTACTCTGGTGAAAATATTGCACGGTCAGAAAGGCGAGACGTTGTTGGATGTAGTATGGCACCCTTTGCGCCCCATAATTGTGTCCATATCAAACTCGGTGACGAAGGAACAAGTTTCCATTTGGGCACAAACACAAGTGGTGAGTGGTGATGTGTGCATATCTCATGGTATTAATATGCCCCTTTTGATGGTGCGTTTTTAAGATGTTTTTGACTCTTGTCGGGGGAAATTCCATCCACAGTCTGCTTTTCACTGCAGCACGACTGACAGCGTAAATTAGAGCGATCACAGTGATAACGATTACTCTTGACCAACGAACCTTCTCGTCCTGGACTTCGCGGTCAAGAGTCTGTGGCATTCTGAGCTCAGTTGAAGCGGCAACTCCTACCTTATAAGAACGCATTTCTATTTAGTTTACTTGATGTTACATTCGAACTCCAGTTCGACCGTCCGTTGACGAACAAAGCCCCCCTCGTAACTCTTGTCGCCACCCTCTATCGCCTTACTTGGTCTTCTCAAACCATTACTAACCAACCGTTATCGGGTTCATCTGTGGGATTTGTTTGGACGCGGTCACTCGCTCCGTTGAGTTTTCTCCCGTTATGGACTTGCCTCTGGCGCTATTCTAATTTTTACACTATTGGTTTCATCCTTCATCAGCAAAATTGGTCTGCATTTGCTCCGGATTTCAAGGAACTTGATGAGAATGTTGAGTATGAAGAACGTGAGTCAGAGTTTGATATAGAGGATGAGGATAAGAACGTGGAGGAGAGCAAAAGTGAGTCCATGTTACCAGGTATTCAAACGCATTGTTTGCAACTGACTCTGAAGGCTTTGTATGAACTTACGACAAATAGACGAGGGCAAGTTTTTCTCATTCACTCCTGCGTCGTTTTATTAGTCAACTCAGTGTCCAGAGGTTTGGACAACCTATTCGCTCGATACATTTGACTGCCATTGTATGTCTAGCTGAGTTGCTCAGACGCTAGAATATGTGATGACTGTTTAACTTTGTTGTGCTTTCACATACTCTCTACTATTCAACCCATGAGAGTTATCAGGTCTTAGCTCATCCTTACCAAGATGTGACCTTGATTCTTCCATCGCGAAATCAGACAATCTAGTTATAGCATCTTTTATCTGTGTTTTTCGTGAAACTTTTCAAGCTTAGACAAAATCAATCGAAGGCTAGGGTTGGACTCGGACTTTGGCCCCTGCGATAAGCGCCTCATCCGCTCGGGCGTCCATTGGGTTAGCAGTCTCCTCATAGTAATTAAATTTTCGGAATTCACATTACTCCGCCTTTGATGGATAGGGTAATATGTTCATTTAGCAAAGGCTGTTACCGAATAACATTTTCAGACTTTCTCTTTATATATATATATATATATATATATATATATATATATGACTTGATATAAGTCACGCTTTTTGTTCAGTGGTTGGCAGATTCCTGTGATTAGAGCCGTCTCACCGAAAAGCGTCTTCAAAAACATGGTTCTCGGCAATCGGTTCTTAGTTTTCACAATTAGTTACATCCGATCTCAACGGATGATCAACTAGTTTTGTCTTCGTCTACCCAGTCGTTCAGGTGTTCTATAGACGAAGTAAGATGATGGAAACATTTAGAAGTGGACACGAACAGATTCAGAGGAGAAAAAACTTTGAAGGGCTGTAACTTAGTTTCGGTCACTGTAGCCCGCCAATACCATCGCATTGCTGAAACCAAACCACCACGAAAAGTTGGCAGCTTTGTGCCGGGCCAAATACGTACTTCCTGAAAATCAGGTGTGTTGTCACGCAGGATCAGAAAGTAGGTAGATCTGACCGGAATAGTGACACTGCGGGGTTGGTCAGTGCCACTTGACAAACGACTTCAAAGGTTGGCGCTGTTCTAGCGCTACTAAATGACGGCAAATAATGAAGCTAATGGCTTTGTAGATCAATAGCAAGAAGCTGCCTTCGACTGTTGTCTTCCCAAGGATCGAGTCCTTTCTAAAAAGAGTGCCCGCACTACGGGATACATTTCATCGATCCTATGGGTGTACTTCCAGTGTTTCCTGAGAACACCTTTTGAAGTTCGTCAGCGGTTCCGTTGGTTTATCTTCCAACAGCGGAACCTAGTCTAGTTGGTTGTCGTTAATCGTTTTGGAGTCGGCTTATTTCAACATGTTGGTGAGGAAACTGGTTCGATGGAAGTAAAATACTCAAATGAGTAGATGTAGTGATGAACAAACCTGCGTCAATTCTGAAGGCTTCTTGGCCTTTCTGCATAGATTGGTTTCACTGACATGACGAAATCTCAATTGAAAATTACCAAATCTCCTCAGAGGACCATCACGGCTGTAGGTGATGGTCATTTGTTCCCGTTTTCATCACAGTGCTAGGAATACTGGTATTTTTCGAAGCGTTCTCTCTAACTCTATTTTGTCCTGTTTTCATCTATGAGTCTTTCGAAGAGGCATACTTTGGAATTTTGAGGAACCTTTATTACTTTATGTTAAGGTCCTGAACTTCCTCATCTTTTTTTGCAATGAACAGCTAAAGAGGAAGAAGACGTAGAAGTGGACGTTGAAACAGTGGAGCCTGTTGCGGCACTTTTGAGCAGGTACGTCCTTGAGCACTTGATTGTGATTTCGTCCTATTTGTCAGTTAGTTTGCTGTGTTGTGTTTGAACGATATTAAAGAACTGAACAAGTAAATCATCAAAATCTATTTCACTTTCAGGCACCCAATTTTCCGTATGTTGCATGCGTGCTTGCGTTCCTCCAAACCTTGAACAAGGTGGCCTAACTCTGTACCAAGACCCTTAGTAATCACCCCTTGTTTTGGATATAAGCCTCTGTTTCTGGGAGCTATTCACACATTTTTTCCGTGAACCTACAGAGAGTTGTCTAGGACTATATGGCGTGTAACTTCTTCCAGCGTGTTTTGTCTGAAGTCCCTGATCCAATCTGTGATCTCTTTCTACAACATTGAATTCGAATAGCCGCGCATTTGTCTGTTCTATTATTTTCGCAAACCAAGTATCGCCTGACACGAAATCCCATGTTTTGAGTCCAGCATAGTTCTTTGGTAACCGGTGCCTCTTGGGTTTACTCAGGGCATTCCGTACTAGCCATTCGAATTCCATGAAACTGCACTACAAGGCGAGTGTTTCGTCTTGGTAGTCGGGTTACATGCCTTAGTATGAATTTTTGAACGCCTCAGACTGAAAACAAGAAAGGTATATGTATAATGCGTCCGATATCTGAAAAAATGGTAGTCATTCATTTTCTGGATCGTTCGTTCTGCGGTGGAAGTGCAATATGAAGGTGCTCCGTCATGTTAAGCGTCGATATCGGGAATTGTTACACGAGTGTTCGAACACGGCAGGTGAGGCAGTTAAAGTATTCGATTACTATTGTGTGCGAACAGACAGATTCGTCCAACACCACTTATTTGTCAACATAGGCATGGTTTAGCAGCTTCAGATCACCACAAGAGGAACCTTTTTGACCACCGAGAAAGTAAGTGAGTTAACAACAAATTGTGAATCCATCAAATGCATCGAAGTCGACGTCTTCAGTAGTTTCACAGCAGATGCATAAGCCAATGGGCCAAGTGCCGGGCTATCCTTACAGCTAGTTGCCTTTCGGTGTTACCTTTATACCTGCTTCCGTGCGTGCAGTCACACTTGTACAGCTGTAGCAGTACGCGCATCGTTATGGATAATCTAAGGCAGTAAGTAAGCAATGGGTAACGCACGTTCTGCAGAGCTTTACCAAGTAAACCGTTCAGCTGTAGCACCTCGGTGCGTAGCTACCATACCACCCGAAGGAAGCACGAGGGCTGAGATACTGCCAGGTGGCTCAACCCTAGACAGCAGCAGGCGAGATGCAGAGGCTGGATGCGAACGGCGGACTTTCCGATCAGTAGATTCGCGCCTTAACCACTGAGCCATCTCCAGCTCACACTTGACAAATAGTCTCTGATCCTAGCTGGAGCTGAGCTGATTGTGGTGCCTAATTTACTGGTAATTATTGGTCTGTTGTCAAAGTTAGCTATGAAATATATATAAAAACGGAAACCAGTGGGCTACACCATCTTTCCGTTACTTATCAAGTTCGTGACTTAATTTCAAAGGCGATTAAGTATCAAAGGAAGCTAACTGCTTACGAACGACATCGATGCTGATTACTTTTTCAGCGACGTCAGAGCCGCCGATGGATTCAATAATACCTGCGAACCGGTTTGTAAGTTCTTGCGGTTTGTCAGCCATAGATTGTATGGAACGCAACTTAGGAATCCGTACAGATACGCACAGTGTGTACGTTTTGAAGTTTCGGGGCAAAACAGGTCGTGCATCGTCGAGGTTTGATTGATTGTATTCCATGCTTGTATTCCATGATTGTATTCCACGCAAATCCCTCAAACGCCAAATAGTGAAGAGTCTAAGGAAAGACCGAGAGCTCTGGTGGACATCGAAAGCTCGGGAGATGGAGAACGCTTTTGCTACGGGAAACAGCCGTGTCCTTTATCAACTGATACGATCGACTGGCCCTAGGAAAGCAACGGTCAGCGAAACGATAAATGAAAAAGATGGCTCATCAATTCACTGGCAAAAACGTCGACTGGAGAGATGGGCCGAACACTCCGAAGAGCAGTTCAGCTGGCCTCCTGCAATACAGCCGGTGGAGATAGTGCATACGGGCAAATGGAATGTAAACCTTGATCATCCTTCGGAAGGAGAAATAAGGTACGAAGTAGCCGCACTGAAACGTGAGAAGGCACCAGGACCGGACGGTCTGTACCCAGCACTCTTCAAAGAAGGCAGAAATTCCCTGGTGACCCACTTGACAAAGCTTATTGGTACTATGTGGGACGAAGAGCAAGTGCCTTCAGAATGGGGCATGTCGACAGTTATCCCTATCTTCAAAAAGGGTACACGGACGCTATGCGAAAACCACCGTGACATCAGCCTGTTAGCTGTGGCATCGAAGGTGCTCTCTGGCCTTATCCTTCGAAGGTTGACTGAACACAGGGAGAGGCAGATCCGTGAAAACCAAGCTGGGTTCCGTCCTGCAAGAGTTGCATCGATCATATCTTCACCCTCCGACAGATTCTGGAACAGCGACACTGATTCCAGCAACCAACAATGGTTGTTTTTCTTGATCTGAAAGCTGCCTTTGACTCTGTGGACCGCCAAACACTATGGCAGTGTCTGTGGAGCAAAGGTGTCCCCCATAAATTCTTGA